AAGAATCATTCACACTGTGGGTGACAAAGAGACATGACAAGGACTTCTGCGGAGTGTCAGGGCAAAAGGCAAAGCACTACGTTGTTTTTTAACAAAGGTGTTAGAGAAGAAATGAAAATATTTTAGGATGTAGGAAAGGCTGCAAGCAAGTAAGTATGTAGTTGCAAGAGAAGGCGAAAGAGAGAGAAGGATGCAGGGAAAAGGAGAAAAAATCTAGTTAGGGCAACTTGTTAAAAATCCTGAATTGTTAATCTGATAGTTCTGATTGTTCACCTGACGTGATCACGGTTCTGCAAGTTAGCATGAACTAATGATGCAGCAACTTTCCTGAATAGCTACTTTACTATGACTGGTTTTGTGTCAATTATATTTTTTTGTACTTATGATTCTAGATTATACAGAATTCTGGAATTTACAAATCTAGAGTTGCTTCTATTGTTTTTAATTTTCTTGACATTGAAAGCATGCTGTACATAATCTATGTGTAATCTTGGATTATACTAGGGCACACTAATGCAGAGGGATGGTACTATACTCCTCAGTAAGATCAAAGGTAAAATACACTGAGCAGGTTTTCTTTAGATAACATTTAAGCCAATAATAGCTTTGGATCTGCTTGTTCAAAAATAAATTCCAAGGAATTATTTTAAAAGCCAACAAGCAGAGCCTATGCTAAGAAGTCCGACAACTTCAGAACACCTTCTCCCTATAATTAGCACAACTGCACCAAATGATTTTTTGCAGAACAGTCCAATGTCCTCAAGTCACAAGTTATGAGCTGTTTCAATCTGAGATTTGAGTTTAAGCACATACCTAATTTTCCTGTTATAGTACCTAAGAGTTTCTGCCTGTGGGTTTTTTTAGAAAGAAGGAATATACATATTTACACAACTAGATGGAATATGCATATTTAGTGCAATGGTAACTGGTCGGCAGCTGGTATGACTGAGGCCCTGTATCTGTGTGTAAACTCCTAGTCAGCAGAGCATTCTTGGACTTACATTTGTCCTTAATGGTGACCACTAACTAATGTGGTTTGCCAAATCAGGGCCCATAACGAGCAGTTTTTAAAAAGGATCTTTTTCTTTATGCTCAACAGTAAGTAGTCAGATTAATTTTCTTTTGCTTTTCCTAAAAAAACCCAGTCACTACTTAGGACTGATCCTTGTACTTTCAGTGATTTTATCATTTGTCAGAGCAAGTGAGACTCTGTCACTGGGGGGAGGGGGTGTGCATATGAGTGTATGCATGTGTATAATTTCAGTTTGAAAACAGTTAAAATGCTCAGCTACTGCTTTTCATGTTCGAAGTCCCTGTTTCTGAAATCTTTTTGCTGCCTTTTAAAAGCTTTTGGAAAAAATAAGAAGTTTATGTGTTTGCTTCCCTATACTAAAATTCTTGTAACAAGAGAATCTAACATTTTTCCCCCAATATTTTTAACTTTTGGTTTC